ACCTAATTAATCCCCCGACAAATAAAATCGTTATAAAAGTGAGTTATCCTTTCTCGTAAATTTGGGGTTGTCTCTCAAAATGTATTTGTGTTTTTACTGTTGTGGTTAAACTCAGATGCAGGTTTCAATCTACACGGAGCTTATGTATTCACTATTCACCACACCGCTGATGGTGCTGAGCTCGTCGAGGACAAATCAATGTAAGGGATGCATCTGATGTGTTATGAACCTTGTGGTTTTACGCCGCCTTTAACAACACTTTCAGGGCGTGGCAGCGTGATGTGGGAAGAAAGCCTAAGACTACCACAGATCACGTCACCACTTTGTTGAAATCATATTTGTTTGTTTGTTTGTTGTTTAACGCCACACTCAGAAATATTCCACCTTTATGACGGCGGTCTGTAAATAAATGAGTCTGGTCCAGATAATCCAGTGATTGACATCATGAGCTTTGGTCTGTTGAAACCATAGCCAATTCCCTCCCATTATTTTTCCACCTGAAGTAGAAATTAAGGAGAGACCGCCTCATCTGTTTCATATTAAATCTATGCATACAGATTCAGAGTGACAAAACACTCTCCACAAGTCTGTATGACAAGAGGAATGACTTTAACTTACCAATAGTCAACTTTCCCTTCATGTCGAGCAATATTCCTGCAGCTCCAGCTCTTGGTGTCTACATTTCACAACTTGTGAGATACAATCGAGCAGGCTCTTTCTACGACGATTTCAAAATGCTTCACACACCTCTTCCTCAGCAGTTGTTTCATCCAGATTACAGGATCCAAGGCCTCAGTAAAGCTTTCAAAAGGCTTAATGGAAGACATGGGGAAGACATTTTCAAATTTGACTGAACTGAACTTTTATTTAAACTCATGCCGCTATCAGCTGCATCAGGGGTAGAGCATTATTTCAACAACATATAACATTTGAATATAGAAAAGATACAAAAGCATCTTTGCCGAGCATGCATGCTTATTTATACAGATTCACAAATAACAACTTGTATATCAGAAAGGATAATTTAGATGATTTCGTGGAAAGTAATTGTGGCCCAAAACTTATCATTCTCATTTTGACGATGTTTGATAGATGGAGTCTTCCAAGTTCCCCATGTACCATGAAATTTTGAGTACAATTTCTTAATGATTAAAGATATTTCAGAAACGCAAATGGACACCTTCTAGAGTTGAGATGTTTTCAAATCCCCATACTTTGCATCCGTAAAGAAGAACTGGTATAACCATACTGTCAGTGACAAAAAAGATGTCCCGTGTTCCCGTGAACAATTGACTTACTTTTGCATGTGATACGCTCACATTTCTCGCGAACACCTGGTATCATCACTATTTGATAGTGATTTATAAACACATGCTCATGATATAGTCGGAATCGTGAGATCTATTCTCTTTGCACCGAGATTTCTTATGAATATAGAAAGAGTTTTGTCGCTTTTATTTATTGTCATAAAGAAGTCGTATATCCATAGAACTATCTCTCTTGTTTCTGGAAACAGTTCAACCATATTCTCATACAGTAACATATAGTAGTAAAGCATAAAGTAATTTATTCAATTGTTTATAGCAACAAAAATGTCCCGTAGTATTCCTTGAAACAACTCAACCAAATTCTGAGAAAGTAACAATTTGTCATCGCAAGGGCGTTAACTGACTGTGTAAGTCCAGTTTCCATCCATGCCGAACTAGGTTGGAATTCTAACGAGTATGTGCATAGTCCAATCAAAATCGCCATCAAACTAGACATCCGGTTCATAAAGAACATGGATTTCAACGTGCAGATTTCAGTCGACTGAAGGATTTGCAAAGCATGTGTACCGTCAACTGGTATCGACAATATCCACAGATATTTTTTTCATGATTTTAATCAAGGTGCTAAATTTTTTTTATGTATTTCGCGAGGTAAGGCCCGTTTTATTATGATAAAGATTTTGACTATCGATCAGATCGTCTTGACTGGGCAAATGATATGAGAGGTGGAATCTGATTAGTCAATAGAAGGGACATAGAAGGGATATAACTCGTAATAACCACTGGTGGCGCCACGATCGAGCCTGGAAATTCCAGCCAAGTTCGGCAATGCTAGAAAGTGGACTTTTATAGTCCTCGGGAAGATGCACTTTGTAGTTTATATATAGAACGCCGTACGCAGAGTCACTTTAAACGAGGCACTTCATGACTGAATGGAGACGTTTACTTATTTATCAATGTTTTTCAAAACTGGGTTTCAAAGGAGAAGCAAAATATAAGGAATGAAGAAAATCTTTACAAATCATTATGACGTGAGGTGAAAAGGGATTCATCGTCGCGTTCAGGATTATTGCACTTATATAGCGACGTGCATGCACGTGTGTGTGTATGTGTGTGTGTGTGTGTGTGGCTGCTTCTTCTAGTCCGGACTGATGCCGATTTTATTGTGCTAGCACACTGAGATACCATGCTGCAGTTTAACATGATATTTATCATGACTTACAGCCGGGCGCCAGGCAGGGTAACAACAATTACCATCTTTGAACGTCTTTTGGTATGACGCGGCTTTTGATCCAACACCTGACCACCCACTCTCCGGGTGACGCTCTACAACGAGACCACGGATGCGGTCCCAATCATTATGAAGGTTATCAGATGTGTTCACATCAATGAGGCCTTGTTCGTTTCACAATGGCGCAATTAAAGGCTAACAGTTGTCATTTTGGGACTCTTCAGAAATCCTTTTTTTCTAATATGTGAACATGAGCATGTATTTGACATAGGTTAATGTTCTTTGGAGATGTACATTACAGTTGCAAAATATTCCTCTTTGGTCAACAACTTAATTAGACGTTCTCTTGAAATAGGCCTGATACTTAACCCAAGTCCAAACCCACAAGCGTAAGAAGGATAAAAGGCCAGATTTCAGCCATTTGAATGTCTCATAATATTTCATATGTATTTTTCAGTTTTAGAGGGTTTTTTCCTCTTTAAAACTTTGACAGAGCCAGTGCCAAACCTGAGCCTGCCTCGTCCTTTCTCTAAAGAGATATCACAGAATTTTATCTTTCCTGATGCTATGGTAACGACCATGGGAAGCTGTGATGTGCGTTTCCTGCTGTATCTTGTAATGGCATAAAATGCATTCATTGATGTAGAGGTAAGGGATGCTGCACTGGGTGACCCTGAGCTCGTTATATCATAAAGGAAGTTTCGGAGTGGCACTACCGCCCTTTGTTGTGTCGGTATGCTGCTCCGCGGTAAACTTGTAATGACAAAACCAGTTGCTGAAGTTTAAACCTACGAGTCGTGCAGCTGTCCTTGTGCATATTAATGTTGTGTGACCTGCCAAGTGGACGCTAACAAGCCTACTCTCTGACATCGAGACAAATGAGTTGATTTGTTTATGAGGTTATTTAGTGCAACATATTTATTCGAAGAGCTAAATAATATAAAAACTGTTAATGTCAGTAGCAGGGTGTCTTTTCCCAGAAATTGTCTTCATCTTTTATAGCATATCAACTTCCTCTTAACACGTACCAAATTTATAAATCAAATAAATGTTTGCAAAAATCATATACAAGAATGAACTCTTCAGAGCCTGAGATGAATCCATGACCATATTTCTGCCTATGAATTAAACAAAACAGAAATAACCCATTCAAAGAAACCTACACGATTGTTTTCTAACCTAAAAGAAAGTATACGACAATACGTGACGCTGGCTAAACATGAAACAAACAAGAAATGGTCATTCGATGGTGATGTATTTGATACGGGTATCATAGTTAGTTGAGTTTGGGACTTTAAATTTGAAATGTTTCGGCGACTGTTTCAGGCTAATAACGTTTTGTAAACGTTTGTACTGTGTTGATCAAATCCAATTTTCAAGCTATACTTTCTTTTACCCGGCAGTTTATAATAATGACATGGCTTCTCTTGAATCGGATGAGCATCGCCTGACATACATGGGATACATTAACCCGATTAAGCCAGTTTTAGTTTGGGTTTAGTCATATCATGGCGCGTCAGCTTTATGTTGGAGGAAAGTCCAAAGTGATCCAGGTCCTTGATCTTACCGTTTTGGTGAAAGCCGCGAGTACATATTTGTGCTAAACCCAGAATCTATCAGAGCGGAATTGAAATTCGAACCCACGACCATCGGGTGAATATGACTTATGTTCACATACGAAATCTAATTCATCGATAATTAAACAACTAGTTTATTGTAGTAGCATAGTGATACCTTTATGAGTAAAACGGAGTTTTACTGATACGTCACGCGTGTACTGAATAAAACAGCCCAGGGTGGAGTTCATGGACACACGGAGGTTCGAAGAACGTAACGCCAATTTATCTTTTAAGTTTAGGTGAGATGGGTTGTCAAAGATTTCCTGTAACGAGGTTGGCTTATCTTACAAACAAGTTTTTCAAACTTTCGTCGGGGCAATCTTGAAATTCCTCCAAGCCGTAGAGGAATGGTTAGATATCTAAGGCAGGTAGAGGCACCCTCTCGCTTCATTCTTGATGTGTGTTACGTTCGGTGAGGCGACACCAGCAATGTGAGGAGTTATGTAATACCTTGGTGAGATGTTTGCAGACATGTTGTCGTCAGACCCATTCATGAGAACACCAATGACTATTCCTCCTAAAGTGTGGAGTATACATGAAAGGATCAACTGAGGATTGTACTGAAGGACAGTTGTTAAAGTCGATGGGACAAAGAAAACAATCAACAATTCTATGCCAAAGGAATGATTCCAATACTTGTCCAGGCTCAAAGCAGTCTGTAACTGACAAACGGATTGGTTGGTGTGATAATGTTTTACTTTTGTGCATTAAATCTTGCAACTTCGAACGTTTTGTATGTGTACCCGAGTCGCTTAGCGGTGACATATTAACAAAAGGATACTCCCTTCTTATCAAGTGACTCTATTCTCGTCTGTGATGTATTGTTGGCACAGATTGTGAGGTGAATGTCTTCTATATTATTTATCATGGGTTTTAATAGAAGATATGTTGAAGAGACAACCTTCAGTGTAAAACATTAAAGCACTCCGGCCGAGTCATGATCACGTAATTTGATTGAGAAGCCATCAGAAGTCCACATTGCTCCATCATTATTGATGGAGATAATCAAATTAGATACACTGTTTATATTTGTAACTGGTCCTAGCCTTGAAGCTGTGTTGGAAAAGAGAAAAGGGAAATCCTATAGAGACTCCGCGTGTTGTCAAAGATGACTCTCGGGTGAAAGTGAAGACAACCCGTGGATAAAAGTGAAGACGACCCGTGGATAATAGTGAAGACGACTCCGTGGATAATAGTGAAGACAACCCGTGGATAAAAGTGAAGACAACCCGTGGATAAAAGTGAAGACGACTCCGTGGATAAAATTTAAGACGACCCGTGGATAAAAGTTAAGACGACCCGTGGATAAAAGTGAAGACAACCCGTGAATAATAGTGAAGCGACCCGTGGATAAAAGTGAAAACGACCCGTGGATAAAAGTGAAAACAACCCGTGGATAATAGTGAAAACAACCCGTGGATAATAGTGAAAACAACCCGTGGATAAAAGTGTAGACAACCCGTGGATAATAGTGAAAACAACCCGTGGATAATAGTGAAAACAACCCGTGGATAAAAGTGAAGACAGCCCGTGGATAATAGTGAAAACAACCCGTGGATAATAGTGAAAACAACCCGTGGATAAAAGTGTAGACAACCCGTGGATAAAAGTGGATAGATTTTGGCATACGCAATATACTATGACCAACGAGGATTGTGGGTAAAATGCCTTCTCCGGAAATATAAGCGCTTTGTTTCAAAGAACACGGACACATTGTAGTTATTAATTCCATGAATACTGCATGTGTATCTGCACTTTGGAGTATTAACAACGTGTACGCCCGCGGGTTTCCCCTCATTGCGTTATCTGCTGCAAAGCGTGTATCTGCATTGGGAACGCATAAGGATGGACTGAACTGAAACAATAGATGTCATTATTCAGACCGTCTTGAAAACCGTTAAAGTGAGAGTTGATGTATCTTTGCCTCAGGCAGAAACTGGCTTCGAGGAATTACCCTGAAAGTGCCTCAGCGTTTGGTTGGCATTATCTCAGATTGTGCCTTGAAATATATACGTTCGGATACATGTGCTAAAATTATAGTGATATTTTTGAAGATACCTCAAGTTATAATTCAAAGAATACGTCAGAAAACTTTGTGGACTTTGACAACTTCATCCATCCTATTTTGCTGGCATAGTATTGCCCGATGATGGCCGTAGAGAAAGGCGGGAGGAGGGAGAGCGTGAGACGGGTGTCCGGCTGGTCAGCGTCCATTGTCTTCATGGCCATGGAGGTGAAGATCATGCTGGACCTGGCCGAGATGCTGTCGCTCCGGGACTCCCTCCACAAACCGCAGAAGGTAAGGAGAGCTGGTCCTCGGCTGCTGAAGATACGCTCATTTACATCTTTCAGTTACATGTTTTGTGGGAATGAATTTCAGGAGTTGTAATGGTTCTCCACTAATTTAGTTCAAGCACTTTGAACTTAATCTTGGATAAAGTAGAGAAAAATATGTCATGCATCTCTTGAATTTGGATAACATTCCTATGGCTAATTAAGATGATGGCTATGGTGATGATTTGACTCTCAGAAATACTGAAAGATTTCCAGTATACATGTTGTGGGTATGGCGCCGGCCTGTACTAGGGGACCGGGTTCAGTGGTATTCAAACAGAACTCGACTACAATGTCGTGAACTGGAACAGGAACGATATGTAAGGTCAATGTGACAGAAGGTGAAGGTCACTGAGGGAGGGAAAGTCATGTGACTGAGGTTTAGCTCCATCTTGTTTATATGTACAAATTGTTACATCTTTAATACGGCGGGGGTCTGACTGACATTGCGAGCGACACTCATCAAATGAAATCATGCTGTTAAATTCATAACCTAACTTTTGATGAGCTGAAATGAGCATAACCGTCTGAATGGTATTGGTGACTTGGCTGTGTAATATGGGGGAAAATGCTTGACTGTCAGGAATGTGTGAAGAAATTAGCAAAGATCAGATGGAAAATCAAAACCGGTACAGGATGGCCGATACGTGGTTATAAAATGATTAAAGAAGAGATTGATACAAAGTGGTTTTTAAAAAAAAAAATCGTATTAATTGAAGATGACCTTTATAGCGCATATGCTAATTCTTTGATCATGCGGTCGCACTCAGGTAAACCCCCCACACTCCGCCGTCCCACCCAGAGACTTGTGTTTGTGTACATACACCATCTCGCTTACACCTGCACCCTCGTCAGATATACCCACTGCCCTGCGTATCTTAAATTCGCCGATATGGCTTGAACACAGAGATTCAATGCACGTCAAGAATGGTTGAGCCTTTGCTGATTTGATTTGTTAGAGCTATCTTTGGCGGGCTTTTCTAAGGGGGCGATCCGTATCCCCAGACGTATAGAAAAACTGACGGTAAAGATTGAACTTGTGATGTAATACGGTGACCGCAGCAAGGTACGCATCCTGAACCTATTCACCGCCATAGCTTCATTTTGAGCCGATTCGAATGACACGACGCTTAAAATAGTCCAATCAAATGACTCACATGAGTGAGCGCATTCTGTATTCTGTTAAGAGATAAAGATGATTTCGTCACCTCCGGAACGAAGTTACAGTGTCGAACGGGTCCAGGGTATTCATTATATACTTCAGTGTGAAAGTCTGATTTTTCTGAAGTTGGTAAAAGTGATATTTTCACTGCTGTGAACATAACACTTAATATTTCACTGCAGTGAACATAACACTTTGACGGAACTATTGTCAAACAAGAGTTACTTCCCCTTTAATTGTCTCCCTTTATCGTAAGTGTCAAGGCCGTACACAATTGTTGACGTCCTTTTTACGTTAGTTCCACATTGACAAGGCAAAATAATGACAGATGGTCATTTATGGAGTTAATATCACTTCTAGTCCTTTATTCTTCTCTCGAAAATATTTCGTCATAAACTGTAAATCTCTCATTTAACTCGTCAATCGAGACTGTTCGTTTCGCAAAGTGCCATTTTTGTTACTTGTCCAGCGTGTTTCTTTCGCCTCCTCTCACCGGTCTCCAAGTATTCAAGAATATGTTTTCGTAAAATTGATTTTGTATATAATCATATCGAAATGTATGATAAAGAATTGCGGTGACCCTAAATATTTTTGGATACTTTTGGTTAGATTTTTTAAGATTTTGCAATCACGAAACTATTTTTTAAGTCGCAAATACAGGGGGTAGTGAGCCGCCCCTGTGTGTGTGAGGCAGGGAGAATTTACGTTTCAAGGTTTCACATTTGTAATGAACTAGTTTAATTTTCCAAAAGACAACTGCACAAAAAGTATATAATAAATCGTGACGGGGGAAAAGGTGATATTTTTACTCGTGGATACGCCACTCGTGACAATATCTCCTTTGCCCCCGTCACTCGATGAGAGAAACATGATATTTCACTCGACACGTGAAATATCCTCTATTTATCATAATACATTAAAGATACACTGTATGAAACACTGGGTAATCGAAGATGATGTGTACTAGTGTCGAAGCTTTATAAACCTCTAGTGACGTCATCCTTTTGTTCTTAAGGTTTCTTCAAATAGTAGATAGCCCGAAAACTCAATTGCAGATATCCATGTCCAGGGCATAGTCTAACCAAAAGGTTTTACATCACCAAACATGTACAAGAAAACATTGATGCGAAGCATCAAAGTTCCCCGCCATATGTGATGCCTCACAAACGCATAATTATGATGTTACTGAAAGGCATGATGGAGCATAATTATATTAACCACAAATAACACAACGCTGTTGTGGAAAAAAATATTATTTATTTTGAGTATTGGGCAATACAGTTGATACATTTGCATAGGGTAGGTCTATTTAAAAATAGTTTCTTGTTTAACGCCGCACTCAGCAGTATTCCAGCCATATGACGGCGGTCTGTAAATAATCCAGTCTGTACAAGATCATCCAGTGATTGACACCAAGAGCATCGAACTACGCAATTGGAATATAATGTTGTGCATCGACCAAATCGGCGAGCCTGACTACCCAATCCTGTTCGTCGCCTCTTAAATTACGGCAAGCATAGGTTGCTGAAGACCTATTCTAACCTAGCTGGGTCTGTATTTAAAAAGTAGATCGAAGGAAATGGAAGCAATTTCTGGCACAAATGTAAACATGTGGAAATAGTATCAAAACTGCCAACAACATCGGCAGATGCACATACTCAAATAATAGATCACATTCTTTTTACACTTGGCATTTGGTTATAATAATGTTAATGAAAATACTAAGGGCTCCATATGGCAAAAACGTTTTACTAGATAAGGTCTTTTTGTCACAACCACAGATGCACATACTCAAAATATTATCACGTAGTTGGAGAACATTTCAATACCGGTGCTAATCAATAACGGAGATTCCTCGTCTCTTGTTTTACGTTTTTTGGTCAGTTTCTTTTTTGTATTTCTTTCTTTCAAAGAATAGCAATTGTGATCATGATGAGTTGTTACTTTTTTTTCTTTCTATGTACTGTTTTTTTATCCAGTGTCAGTAACTGTTGTGGAATGTGGTTTACTTGTAACAATGACTGGTTTGAGTTCATATGATGATGATTGATTGGTTTGTCGTTTAACGCCGCACTCAGCAATATCCCAGCTATATGACGGCGTTCTGTAAATAATCGAGTCTGGACCAGACAATCCAGTGCCTAATATCATGAGCATCGATCCACGCAATTGGGATCGATGCCATGCATCAACTAAAGCCTGACCATCCGATCCCGTTTGTCGCCTGATATACTGTTAAGATGTAACATAACAATTCATCCATACTACTAAACAGAAGTAAAACCGCTTGTCCATTCGGATCAGTCTGACCCAAACCATTCCGCTGATGAGAGTCAAATAATGCATACGAATCAAAATCCGTAAAAATTGCAATAGAGACATCATTAAAAGTTACCAAAAGTGACGGGGATATCAATATTGCTTGTTGAAATGATTCTATGAAATTTGTTTTCCCTGCTTTAATGTTTGGAACACCTGTGACGGAGCCATAAAACTGATCTGTTATGTAGACAATATCGCTTGAGGCAGTGGCTGCTGGGAGCTGATTATGACCTAAATACCCCTCATAGCCTTCGGTGTTAACCATGTGACTGTAGAGAGCTGTGCCTTCATCCAACAGATTATTGAGTTCAGTGGAACACGGTACAGACGCAAATATATTTGAGCCATGGGACACAAAATATATGAGTGACCAGAGCTACGGCTGTACATTGAATTCCATTAAACGGTTGAAAAATACTACAGCCTTGATGCAGATTCGCCGACACACTACTCCGATTTTGCTTTGACTTTGCTACCAAACTTTTCACATGTGGCTATGTGCGGTGCACCTATTAAAAAAAACACACGGGGGACTGGGTTAATTCAAAATACGGAATAGTAACTATTCCAAATATATCCAGGGAACATGAGCATCCAAACAATCAAAAGTGTGGTATGTAGAATGTGGAATTCAGCCATATTACATTTAAATTGAGATGTCGTCGTTGTTCATGAATAAGCATATTCAGAACATATTTTTTATTATGCTGTTATTTACGATCTCCGGAGCACAGTTCTTCTTTTGTATACACCATGAAAATCAGAAAATGAGTCCTTGAGGAAGAAAGGACATCGGATTACACATGAATGGTTTAATAATGTCAGCTAATGACCAGAAACGGTCAGATGCATCAATTAACTACATAAAGACGATTTTAAAGTATCTCTTATTGCTGGAAAAGAATAGCATCAATATTCCACGCACATGATTAGTATGTTTTTTTTCCGTAAATGCGTGGCTTGAAATTTCAAATAAACCAACATGTCGACACACATGCTACAAATTTAACGTTTCCCGTATACTTCCCCGCCTTAAGGGCGGGGAAGAATAAATATCCGTGATGATTTTTGACAGGTTAATTAGAACCATCAATTATTTCACATGAAAATGTCATGACGTGAATTGAACCTGCTACTTCACATATCGTGTTTAGTATAATTGTAACCTACTGTTTTCCCACTAAGCCATCAGGGCAGGTGATGAAAAGGTGTTAAACGTAATACATGTCAGACTTCAGTTGTCTGCATGCTGCGTGTGTTCTTTCTCTCGCCCCGCTGTCATCGAATTCGTTTTATACCGTGACTGCAGTATTGTTTTATACCGTGACTGCAGTATTGTTTTATACCATGACTGCAGTATTGTTTTATACAGTGACTACAGTATTGTTTTATACCATGACTGCATTTTTGTTATATACCATGACTACAGTATTATTTTATACAGTGACTACAGTATTGTTTTATACAGTGACTACAGTATT